TAAACCTAGACTAGACAGTGACAAGCGATTTTGAAATAATTTATTTAATCTATAAGAATATGCTATAGACAACAAAAGAAAAAGATTTGTGGCGAAGCAGAATAAAGATTCGGCTTTTCATGAACGCGCTTCATCGAGGAGACTGTACGGTTCTGCGCACAGTAGCGTGTTACTTCGCCAAGGGTAATCCTCTACACGATGACTTTGCAGATGGCTTCCTGGACGGCCACTTCTCGCTTGCTGAGGGATCATTATTGTCATGCCTTATATCATACGAAACAAAGGGTTTTTGCAATTGTCAGCATCGATCGAACACTGCTGCTTTATCTACGCCTAAAGCAAGCTCCAGTTTATCAGAAGTTATATCATCTCCGAACACTTGGGGCCAACACCCGAAGGCGGCAATTCTAATCGGCCGTGGTTTTGTGATTCACACTTCTAAAGGCTGGAATCCCGATAAAAGCTATGCATCCACCCCTTTGATAACGGAATGGTTTGGTCCCAATAGCCCGGTTCCCAAAACGCGGCAACGTTCGACGCGCCACGTGCGGGATTTTTACTGCTCCGATCGGCGTTCGCCCGGGAGAGCTCATATGACCGGCGACTGTACTTTTTACAGTAAACTCCTTTTGAAACGAACACGAATGGACCATGCAAATTTGTTCGGCCTATCAGAAGTTCAACTTAAATGAAGTCTTCATATTATGCCGGGTATTCTAAATTGCCTTTTGAAGAGAAACACAGCATGAAGCATAACGCAGGCTTAAAATAAAAACAAACACTTACAAAGCTTGTCTAGTTCGCCATAAAAATATTACCGATATGTTTCATACGCCTCTTGCTGGGAAACAGATAAATTCTATAATCTGATAGTCTCCGCTGGGCAAATCGGTTTGACGTCAAGAATCACGACGTATTTTCAATATTTTTCAGAAACTCCTCGGAACCTTCAAGTTCTTAAAAAAGAGTAATTTTTGGAACACAAGTCGAGTTGCCTGCCCATATTTGCTCATTGGTCGATATCGAGACAGCAGCATGACAGAAAACATACAACGGGAGCGGGAGATTGGTCGTGTGGGAGACAGGCACGCGAACGGGCGGTAACTGGCGACTCTTGCCTCAAGAACCGTAGCCGGCGTTTTTAGCCTACTCGCATCGCACCACCCTCCGCCACAGAACGCCAGCATTTTTTTTTTTTTTTTGCTTAACGCAAAATGTTTGTTTGCGCGCTTTTCCTCTCTCCGTCCTTTGGCGGCCTTCGCTTGCCGTCGCTCTTTGCTTCTCCATTTCGCGCAGGCTAATAGCGGCGATGCAAAGTTCGGGTACGGGTTAACCGTAGTGCACGCTCGAAGCCATTCCTGTTAAGCGAATTTTTTTAGAACATTACGTCTATGGGAAACCAACCAAACGTTTCAATTTTGTTCGGCATACCCTACAATTCTGCTTAAGCGAGTTCAGCTTAACGGAAATATACCATATTCATTGTTGGAGCCTAAGCGTATTTATTGCAAATTTGATATGAATAAGGCCCATACGCAGACGGGAAATACTACCTTGATATATTATAGCTAAGAATACAGCTAGATTAGGCAAATACGATCAATAAACAAATACGGTACGTTTCAAATTAAAGACGAATTTCGTTTCCATGTGAATGGCATACTGACTTCCGGTAAACACTTAAATATGTCGTAATTGGCACTTACCGTTTCATCGATGATTCTTTCGATTGGATAATAAGACATCAAGCGGTGACACCGCTGTGCGGAACGCTGGTAATTTGCGGAGGCAAAGGGACTCGTCGGGGCAGAGAAAAGCGTTCACTTAACCGCTGGTCACTCCCGACGCCAGAAAGACTACTTGAGTGTTAAGCCACTTTTAGAGTACTGGCCTAGGCTTAGGCCGCACAGGATGCTGGCGTGAGTTTTCTCAAATAGTCGTGCAAGGAAACCAGAGCAGACAATGCAGTTGTAGGTGGAGCCGTCGTGGTAGGACCAGTGAAAGCTATTGGTCCGATTGGATGTGATATGTGAGGGCATGAAGGAAGGGTTTTTCTTTTTGTCAATAAGGCAATCAGTTCCAGAAACCCAGAAGGCGTAGAAGCTGTACTCTTTTGCGAGCAGATAACTTGCAAAATGAATTGCCGGATAGCCCGCGTTACATGGAAGAAACGGCCCCATCCTGATGTGCTTCATATCGAGGTAACAAGCGACTAAAAGCTCCCACAAAGTAAACGACAATTTGAAAAAAAGATCATGCGGATCCCACGCCATGTGAAAATCGGTCTTAAAGCGAAGCTTTCTATGATGTGTACGCTGGTTGTCGCTGCTTGGACGGTGATTTTGACGCCAAATTTTGAAGTCGTTCAGCGCTTGGTGCAACACGACACTAGTGAAGTGTTATAAACATATATTGGAAACACCAACACTGTTCGTTTGTCTTTACGAACTGTATACTACATATAAGACGCAGTAAGACGCATTCGGGCCTCGCGAGTGCGTCTGCACAGCTGCGGCACAAAAAGTCGGACCAGAGCTTCAGTCCCGCCTTGCGCACCACGCCCTGCTTGTAAACAGACTTTAAATTTTTATCTTCTTCAAGCTCACGCCGATAGACACGTCGTTAGAAACGTTGCGCGGAAGACTGCATGGTCACCATTTGGTTCACGTCCACGGGCACGTTGACGATCTGCCCCACAATGTCGAACTGTCCGCCGTGAATCAGTTTGATCCACATGAATGGGATCCGGGGCAGACCAAACGCTCACTAATCTCGTTCAACTGGGTAGGTGCGCAAGGCGGCCCGGATACCAGAAGCCGTTGCTTCGCGACAGATCCGGAATGCTATTCTGGTTTAGCGAGCTTTTGCAAGTAGAACACACGACATAGTTGGACATGTTTTTACCGGGATACGCCTCGCTCAACGTAAACTTGTGGCGTTCCAACATCGGAGACACACCCGACCAAAATCAGAGTCTATTGCACAACTGCAAACCAAACCAAACTCGTCCTGCACGGAGTGTTTCTCAATGTACTTGTGTGCACCCGCAGACGGCACAGTCCGGTTCCGCTGCTGTCTCACCGCTGCCATGTATCGAAGCTGTCCCGCTTCGCGTTTACGAGCCAGCATGCATTCGCGTTCTAGACCATGCTTCGCCACGTATCGAAGACGTTCTTCCTCCGCCCGACGATTCCTCCGAGCCTCCATCTCCTCCGCAGTCAGTGCACGCTTTGGCCCCATTTTAGTTTTTTGTAGCTGGCGTCTGCGCTAAGTTATAATGCCCCTGGTTGCTATGCAACATGTGCTTGCTTTTATTTTTATATAATGTTTTTGTAAGGCTCCTCCTCTTTAGAATGCTTCGGCCCTGAGGGTAAAATAGATAAATAAATGGCGTCTTCTGAGCCGGCTTGCTAGAAGCAAAGCCTTAGATGACTGCGTGAAAGGAAGACTACCATGCCTAGGGTGCGCGAGCGCTTGAGACTCGACTCCATGTTCCATCCCGTTCGTGCGCTTGCGTTGGCAGTGCTTCTTTGAGACAGTCTTATGTAAGACGCTTGTTCTAGCAAGCCGGCCCTGCTGACACTCTCCCATGATCCACGCGGCGGGCGCCACCGCACTCAGTGCCTTTACGTCCCGTTTCGCTTTCGCTTCGTATGTATAGGCAGATTCTACGTCGCCCATGACGTCGATGACGGCTTCAACGCCGTCGTAGCCTCGTCGTCGACGTCAACGTCGTGGACGTCTTGAACGTCGAGGACGTCGTGGACGGCTTGAACATCAAAGAGAATCACGTCCACGACAACAACGACGAAAACAACGACGTGAACGTTGAAGACATTGTCGATGTCCAAGACGTCGTTGACGTCTTCAATGTGAATACGACGTTTACGTTCATTACGTCGACGACGTCTTCGACGTTCAAGGTGTCCACGATGTTGTCAAATTTGACGACTCCGACGTTCAAGCCGACGACATCGAAGACGTCGTGAACGCCGAGGACGTCGTGAACGACTTGAGCATCTAAGACGTCTTCGACGTCGTAGACGCCTTGAACGTCGAAAACGTTGCCAACGCCGAGGACGTCGCGGACGTCCTCGACGTCCATAAAGTTCAGGACGACAACGTCGTCGACGACTTGAACGTTGACAACATCGTCGACGTCGAATCCGTCGACGTTCAAGACATCTTGGGCAACGTCCACGACTTCTTTGACGTTCAAGACGTCTTCGACGACGTCGACGTCGTCGTCGAAGACGAAGCGCGATATGATAAAGACCAAGCCAAAGTGCGTGGCCTTAAAGGCGGGCGCTCAAAATTTTCTTCAGCGTGGCAGAAGATTAACCCTCTTTTCTTTTTTTCCTCCTCCCTTTCCTCCTCAATTTTCCTCCTCGCTTTTTCCGGCCTTCTCGCACGCGTGCTAATGGGCTTACCGGTCCCCCGACAAAAACTCTGTAACCCTTCAAGGTTCTCTGCTTCAATCCCAAGCATCAGGGATTAGTTAGGCAGGCTGGATATGAGCTCGGAAGGGTTCGGGCTGGCTCGCTTTTCTTCTTCTTTTTTTTTTTTTTACTTGTTTCCTGCGGCTTTAAAACGCACTCACAGCCGAATTCATAAACGGGCCTCGACTCGAACTCGACTCAAACTCGACTCGAAACTCCACTTGAGGCCGGTTTTGCGCTTCATAAACCGACCTCCACTCTAAACGCTCCTCGACTCGAGGAAATACTCGACTCTTTCCTCGAAAATCTCAAGGTAGGTCCGGCGCTTCCTCGAGCAGCTCCTCGAAACTCGAGTCGGTCCCAGGAGGTAATGGCGGCCGACAGATCGTTCTGCGACTTCGTGGATTTCGTCCTTAGAGCGGAAGAAATCCTTTACGACCACCAAGATGAGAGTGTCCCAGTGCCGCGGCGTCGTTTGAGGGACCGGCTGAACCCTCTGGAGGTGTTCAACGACCGCGAATTTCTCGCGCGCTACCGCATCACAAAAGCGACAGTGGCAAGCCTCCTGGAGTCCCTGTCGCTAGAGGAGTGCGCGAGCAATCGCGGTCTGCCGGTCCCTCCAATGCTTCAGCTTCTCATCGCGCTGAGATTCTACGGCGCTGGGACATTCCAGGTCGTCACCGGCGACCTCGTCGCCGTGTCGCAGCCGACAGTGTGTCGGGTTGTCGAGCGGGTGTCGCGACTCATCGCCGGCACCCTGTTCCGACGACTCGTGAAGTTCCCCAGCACCGCGACGGACTTCGATCGCGTGATGCTAGAGTTTTATGCTCTGAAGAAGTTTCCCGGAGTGACTGGGTGCATTGATTGTACTCACGTTAGGATCAAGGGGCCTGGTGGTCCCGATGGCGAAGTCTACCGTAACAGAAAAGGGTACTTTTCCATCAACGTGCAAGTAAGTTCATTTTTGCTTGTGCTCTTACCGTAAAACAAATAAATAAAGAGAATGGTGACATTATAAAACACAGCATCGTAAAAAAAATAATAATAATAAATAAAGTCTGCATGTGCCGATTGTTTCTGCAGCAGGGAATGTCACGATTATACTCAACTGCAATAATGACTACCCCACCGAACGGCGTTCCACTTGTGATGTGAAGGCAGGGAAATATGGCACAGTAAAAGTAAATTCCTTTCACATAGCCAACAGTCAATTAATTAATGAAAAAGACATCCCTACAACATAAATTTTGTATATTTAATAATCTATATTGTGTCTTAACTCGAGTGGTGTGGCTTACAAACCAAGGATTGTGTTACTTCTACAGAGAAATGAGAACCCTATGGTGCTTACACCAAGGATGTGATAATCGTTCAAGCTAATGGGTGGTCGAGCAATCATCTACTGGATCTCTGATAACAAGGAATGAGGCCTTGCCAAGCTTCGTTATATTTGCATGACATAGTCAGGGCACTAACTATTGTGTCATTAACTCCTCATTTGCAAAGCTGGCAACTGCACTTACTCGCTAAGTATACCATAAAATCCCGAGATAGACCATCTAACTTCAAGAGCATATCGGCTGAAAATATGGAGTGGGCTAACTTTCAATGCGACATCAAGAAAAGTTTTAAAAAATTGTCAATATTAGGTCGTATCCCTTCCAAGCTTGTTATGGTGGCAAGGGGCAACGAAGTAAAGATGACTGTACTTCCCAGCCAGCAACGTTCTGAGGCCATCATTGATCCCAACACTACTATTACTAGGAGTGGGCTATCCTTCGGTGGTTCAAGCCAGAAATAGGGGTAGGGCTGTATCGTTCTATTACGAGCGCCTACGGATGATGGACTGTACGCCAGGATGAGATAGGAACGACTGACTCGTCGTCGTCTTTTATTCCCGCACCGCGAGGCTATGCTCGTGGTACATCCTCTTTTCTCTGCATTTAAAAAAAAAAGTGCAAAATTAAGATGACACAAAGACGCTAGTCAAAAATAAAAAAAAAAAAAACAGGGACAAGAGAGAGAAAAAAAAGAGAAGAAAGAAAAAAAAAACTACGGCATTTGCTGGAACGACTCATCATAACTTAGTCTCCGTGGAGGCTGTCTGCTTCTGCCCGATCGGCGTGATGAGGGCCCCTGCTGCGTCTGAGCTTGCGGTGCTTCCTGGTCCTCTGTCTCTTCATCTGTACCGTCTGGTCCAGGCGACTGCGGTCCCCCATCGTCTTCCGATTCCGAGTCGTCGTTTTCTTCTGTTGTCCTTGAATCATATTCTTCGTCAACTTTCAGGAGATGTTGCCTGTTGCGACGGAACGTCCTGCCATCTTCTGTGACGACGCTGTACGATCTAGGAGCGACGTAGGACTCGACAGTTGCTTTCGTAGCCCATTTTCCATCGTTTAGGATACGGACGGTGTCTCCTGGCTGCAGCGGCTCTAGATGTCATCCTTTTTTGAGGTTCTGGGTGTGCTTTTGAACAGGCGGTGCTGGATCCGAAGAGAAGTCTGGAAGCAGGCTTCGAATACCACGACCCATCAAAAGCTCCGATGGAGAGCGACCGCCTTCCAGCGGAGCCGTACGGTAGCTAAGCAAGCCGAGCCAGAAGTCCTCTTTTGTTGATTGTGCTTTTCGGAGTAGCCGCTTCACCACCTGGACGCCTTTCTCCGCGAGGCCATTGGAGCGGGGATACCCAGGGCTTGACACTGTATGAATAAAATCATACCGCGTTGAGAAGTCTTTGAATTCTTTTGCAGAAAACTGTGGCCCTCCGTCTGTGCAAACTTCTAATGGTATTCCATGACGTGCAAATATTTCTGACAGTTTGGAGATCACACCATTAGCAGTTGTGTCACGAAGCTCCTCCACTTCGGGATAATTTGAGTACGCGTCATACACCACTAGGTAATGTTTACGACCAAGTTCGAACAAGTCAGCCCCAACCCGACCCCAAGGATGACCAGGCACCTCACGTGTATGCAGAGGCTCATCCTGGTGTCTGTAGGTGAAAATTTGGCATGTCTCGCATTTTCTGACTAATGCAGTAATATCCGCATTCATACCTGGCCAGTAGACTAAGTTCCTTGCTCTTGATTTACATTTGTTGAGGCCTAGGTGACCCTGGTGTATTCTTGTAAGTATTTCTTTGCGCATTGCTGCTGGTATTACAACTTTGTTTCCTTTCAACAAGACTCCATTGATGACCGAAAGCTCTGTCATAACGGACTTCAGCTCACCCCGAACTGGAGTTCCAGCTTCTAAACTGGCAATTGCCTCCTGCAGGACGGGATCGCCTGCTGTGGCTGCCTGCAGGCTGCCCAGGGTCCGGCTGCCTACCAGTGTTGAAAACACTGCATTTGCATGTATTTCGACGTCGGTCGTGTCGTCTTCTGCTTGGGAACCACCGGAGATTCGGGAGAGTGTGTCCGCGATCACCAGCTTCTTTCCAGGGACAAACTGTAAATCAAATTCGAACTTAAGCAAACGAAGAAATAGTCGTTGCAACCTTGGTGGCAGGTCGCCTAAGTGTTTCTTTGCAAGAGCGATCAAGGGTTGATGGTCAGATTCAACGAATATTTTTCTTCCGAGTATGAATTCGGTAAATCTTTCGCACCCAAATACAATTCCCAGAGCCTCCTTTTCGATCTGAGCATATCTACGCTCTGTGTCTGTGAGTACTCGTGATGAGTACGCCACCACTTTCCAATCTTTTCCATCATGCTGGAACAAGGCAGCACCGAGAGCAAATGCAGAGGCATCTGTTGAGACTTTGGTGGGTCGAGAGGGATCAAAAATTGCCAGGACCGGTGCCTCAGTGAGCAATTTTCGCAGTTGTTGCCACTCAGTTTCATGAACCTTCTGCCATTCAAAAATAGTGTCTTGTCGAATAAGTTGACGCAACGACTCTGTCTGCGTTGACAGGTTTGGCAAGTACTTTCCAAAGTAGTTAACAGCTCCTAGCAACTGCTGAACCTCTTTCTTACTCGTTGGAGTTGGTAGGGCTGCAACACATTTCACAAGTTCTGGATTTGGCTCAATGCCAGCTGCGCTTATTTTATCTCCTAAGTAGGTGATTTCTGTGACCCCGAAGATGCACTTCTCCAAGTTAAGAGTTAACCCTTCTGTTTGTAGAGCATGAAGCACAGCACGCAATCGTTGGTCATGTTCTTCCCGTGTTTCGCCCCAAATCAGGACATCATCAATATACACCCGCACACCTGGAAGTCCATCCAAAAGGTAACTCATAGTGCGCTGAAACACCTCGGGGGCTGAAGCGATTCCAAAGGGTAGTCTGAGAAACCTGTAGCGACCAAAAGGAGTGCTGAAGGTGCATATTCGAGATGTACTGTCATCCAACGGTATTTGATGGAAACCGCTGTTGGCGTCGAGCCGGCTAAAGTATGCGGCATGTGCCAAGTCTGCTTCAATTTCCTCTCTCCGAGGCAGCTGAAAATGCTCTCGCTTGAGTGCTTTGTTTACGTGACGGGGATCCATGCATAATCTTAAGTTGTTGTTTTTCTTTCGTACTATAACCAAGGGGCTCACCCAGTCGGACGGTTCTGGTGCCTTCGCGATGACACCTGCTGTCTCCATTCGGTCGAGCTCTGCCTTCAGAGGCGCACGTAGCGCGTGCGCCACCCGGCGTGCTGGCTGGATCACCGGTGTGGAGTTGTCGCGAAGAACCATCTTGTAGGCTCTCTTTGTGCAACCGAGACCACGAAAGAGACCGGGGAACTCGCGCTCTACTTGTTGGCGCTGCTGGTTCTCGTGCTCCACAGTGTTGACCTGGTTGACGAGGCCAAAGTGCTCGCATGCTTTCAGGCCCATGATGGCTTGCCTGCCCTTCTTTACTATAAAGAAATCGATGAAACCTTGTTTTCTGCCGACAGATACCGACAGGCGGACTTTTCCCAGATGTTGTATGATGCCACCTCCGTAGCTATGCAGAGTTGCAGTCGTGTGTTGAGGCCGCTGCTTTTGTTTGATCTTCATAAACAATGTTCGAGGGAGCAGATTGGCCTGTGCACCGGTGTCCACTTTAAGCTCTACCTGCTTCCCTTCTATCGTAGTATTCACGGTCCAGTCACGGTTGCCGACCGAATGCACGCTGCTGGTTGACAAAATCTCAAGCACATCAAAATCGCTGCTTGCCTCACTGGTTTCCTCAACGTCATGTACGCCAGACTGCTTAGTCTTGCAACATACTGCAAAATGATTTTTCTTCCTGCATTTTGAGCATGTCTTTCTGTAGGCTGGACATTGCCTTGGCGCGTGAGCTTGGTTGCAGAAGCGACATCTCGACTTGTCCTTCTGCTGCTGCTTGACTGTCTTAACGATTTCCACCTTGGCCGCTGCTTCACTTGACCCTTTAACTGCCGCGTCATTCCATGTTTTGTTGTGGACATTGGCTGTCTCTTCGGCCTTGCAGCATTCAACTGCTATTTCTAAAGTCAAATCCTTTTTCCGCAGGAGTTTCTCTCGAATCTTCTTGCTTGACGTTCCATACACGATCTGGTCTCGTAGCATGGAGTCCTTTAGGTCGCCAAATCCACAGGTCGCTGCTTTCAGCTGAATATCGCGGTAGAAATGTTCGAAAGCTTCTCCTTCCTCTTGTCGCCTCGTTCGGAACACATAGCGTTCGAACGTCTCATTGCATCTCGGAAGGCAGTAGGCTTCGAACCTCCGTACCAGGACATCGTAATCTTGGGCTTCTTCAGCTGACAAACCAAACGTGTTAAATACCTCAATGGCTTCTTGCCCAGCGACGTGCAGAAAGATAGCGGCTTTTTGTTGCTGGTTGCGACCTTCCTTGGGCTCTGTAGCCAGAAGGAAGAGTTCCATCCGCTGCTTGAATTTTTTCCAATTCTCTGCAGCGTGCTCTCCCAGCCGCAGCGGTTCTGGTGGCGGAAGATCAGTCATGGTGCGTGGAGACTGAAGATCACTTCTGACACCATGTATCGTTCTATTACGAGCGCCTACGGATGATGGACTGTACGCCAGGATGAGATAGGAACGACTGACTCGTCGTCGTCTTTTATTCCCGCACCGCGAGGCTATGCTCGTGGTACAGGGCATCTCTCCGGATTTTACGGTATCTGGATCTAAAAATGTGTCTGTTTTGATACCACGCCAGCCTGCTCATCCCAATGCTGTTCCTTTCCCCCCCCTCAGGCCATCACGGGACCCCAGCTCCAGTTCTACGACATCGTGGCCAGCTGGCCAGGCTCCGTGCACGACAGTCGGATCTTTGACAACAGTCGTGCACGGGTCCTGTACGAGCACCAGCGTGTACCTGGGGTACTGCTGGGAGACGCAGGCTATGCCTGCACCACCTACCTCATGACTCCACTGGCCACTCCAGGGGCAGCCAAACGTCCAGAGGAAAGGTATGCACTACACTGCTGGAAGAAATCATGAGATTTAAAGCTAACCCAAAATTGATGTATCAGCCGCACTTACAATTCCCTCTTTTCATTTTGTTTCCGCAAACTTATCTGTACAATTGGTCTATGGAAGCAGAACCAGACGTTAATCGTTTTCTTGTCTGCATGTGACTGTCACATCTTTGGCAAATCGGATGGCAAGCGCACAGTGCTCGACAACATTTGTCGCTCAGTTGAACTGGTCAGTGTTGCTTCTTGGTGTTTGTTGCCAAAGTGGGACTATAGCTTAGTGGTCCATTCTAGCAGACAATAATGTAGGAAGCATCCCCCAACAACACACCATACACAAAGCCGTAGCCTCCGGAAAGAAGCAGTGCCAAAATGCAGCTCGCAGAAAGGGTCCATACCGTATGGCATACCCGTATCACCCGGACTGATGCTTTGAGTTACCTTACGCAACTCTGAAAGCGCAAAGAGACATTATCCGCCCACAGGAGAGAGCTGTGTGTCTATATCTAGAGCAACATTATCCTACTGAGTACTTTCTGCCAAGAACATTGGTCAGAGAATTTATCAGCGATAGACCGCTATACAAATCAGTGTCGCATTTTCTACCTAAAAACTACTGTATCGCTTCAATGTGAAGCAACAATGTATATAGTAACTGACAAGGTGAGAACAGCAGGGAGGAGTTTCAGTTGTCCCAACTCCAGCTTCAGTGTCTTACCCTAGCCAGCGTTGTAGCATCTCGTGCACCTCGGACACACACACACAGCCAAAGCACATTGCAAGGCGTAGAGCACATGCAAGAAGCCAGGCGTTCAAAAGACACACCCTGCCGTTCTCACTCTGTCGGTGGTTGCAGCAGTAGAGAGATCTCTGATAGTTCATCATTCTTCTCACGTAGGTACCAAAAGGCCCACATCCGGACCAGGAACTCGGTGGAGCGGGCCTTTGGTGTGTGGAAAAGGCGGTTTCCGTGCCTCGACATGCGGTTGCAGCACAAGCCTGAACGGTCAGCCGTGATAATCACGGCTTGTGCTGCACTGCACAACTTGGCCCGCCTGCGGAATGAGCCGTGTCCCCCACCTATGCCCACTCCACCAGTTCCCCCTCAACGACGTCGGAGGCAGCCCCACCTGCCACAGACTCCGGACCCCGTGGACACCATCAACGAAGCATGGAAACGGGCACAGATTATTTCTAGGAGTTTTACATAGTAGGCGCATTGTGAAAACAACAGCAATGTAGCCAGAATTTTGTTAGTGTGTGGGGGGAGGGAGGGGGGTTAGCTAGGGAGAGATGGGCATAAAGAGCCGGGCGGAAGGGGGAAGGTTTTAAGCCGAGCATCGACTATTTCAATGTCGACCGTCAAAATATTTCTCAAATTATTTTGACAACTGTGACGTCACTTCCGTAAAACATCAAAATAGTGGCTTTATTATTTCGACGTCTGCCTTCAGTGCCGCTGTCGAAGGGTGGAAGCTGTTTCGTGGTTTTTATTTTGTTTAGCTTCTGATGGTGTTGTCAGTGTTGTGTGGACGTTTTGACGGATTTGTGTGTTGTCTTTACTTTTGCATGGAAGTTTGCCAGGCATCTGACGGTAGACATGTGAACCTTTTCTTGAAGGGCACATGCTCCCTATTTTGTACAAATTTTTTGTGTGGAATAAACCTGTTCTTAAAGATGCTTGAAACCTTATCTTGCAACTGGGTTCACACCTGAAGGGCTTTAGGTTAGAATGCATAATGCAACAACGCAGCGATACCTTGGGAGGACACTCTCAGTTGTTGCTGGTCAAGGGCGTCCCAACAGTATTAAACAATGTGAACGTGCAGGGCCGCTGCACTTCAATGCTGGTGGTGTCGCACTACTTTTCAGTGGGAGTAATTGAGCACATCAGGTTTTGGCTGGGACTATGCAATTAATATATCAGTATGTAGTCGGCTGCAAGCTTGGGCCCAATTGCTGCACTGGCACTTTGCAGTGGGCCACAAAAAGGCAGTGAGCAAACCTTGGCTAGTCAAGATGGTGTTGACTTTATTCTGGGTGGTGGCATAAGTCCATATAGGGTTTACGGCACGAATGTTTTGACAGTAAATGGGACACGTCTGAATTCAATGATGGTTCACAACATTTAATTCACAAGACAGCATGCACAAATCACACAATAATAAAACCAACATGGCAATAGAACAATGGTAAAGTGCTGGCAACATCTGTTTGTACATAAGAAAAAAATATATTGCTACACTTCCTCCAGGGGGGCCGGTGGCAGTATGTGTTAAAGCATCACAGCTTGGAGTATGTGGATAGACACTTATTGGGGCCGACTAACTTCCCCCTGCCTGAACACTCGCATCATAATTACTTCCTCTCTTAAAAAATCGGCGTAAAGAAAGAAACGAAATACTGGGCTACCTCCTTTTCTTTGAGAGAATGCATCGAAAGTTGATGTAACTGCCCTTTTGTATAGAAAGTTCACTACAAATGATTATTACACCACCAAGTTAAAAAAGGAAAAAAGAAAGAAGACTTTACTAAACAGGGACAAAATGAACAAAATAATACCCTTTAAAAAACCATCCATACACAAAAAGAAAGTGAAACTTAATGTAATAAACTAAAATGCAACGCTAAAAAAAATCCACCTACTCTTGTGTTTTCGCTTCGAAAGCAAGCAGCTGTTGCAGCTTAATTCGCTTGTCGAGCTGGAGCAGCTCAAGTTCCAGCTCGATACGCTGCTGCTGGCCACGAAGCAGCTGCACCTGCAACTGGTGCAGCTCCTCCTTGCGCAGCTCCTCCCTCTCCAGGGCGGCCACACGGGCATTCGTTTCAGGAGCCAACATCGCCTCAAAAGCTGCGACGCGGCCTACAGCCGGTTTCGCTCGGGGGGCCCCACGGGTCGGTTGAGGAGACGGAGGGTTTGGGGGCCTGGGTGGCGATGGAGCAAATGCCGGCTCCATGCTGTCACCCCAGTCCAGTGGTGGCGATGCAGGCGAAGCGGGCAAGGCAGGAGAATCTGGACAGGCACAGCACATAGATGCTGTGAGTGTTACAGGCAGGGGGTAGATACGAGAGAATGTGAACCCATTATGGAGATGTTGAATGCCAGCTGCTGGTATAATCTGCTTGAGGGATCCTGTTCTGTACCTCTTCCAGTGTTGTGGCTAGTTCATAGTTGCATTATTACACCATTTATCTTCATTGGCTTGGTTATAGATGGTGGTCCTAAACAATGAAGCTTTCCACAGTGAATGATGCGAAGGCTAACAGAGTCAAACTGGTATACAGTGCAAACTGGACTCCAGCCGTGTCTACATAAAGGCGACTTAGGCGCATCGAATCCAGTCACCGTATTAAGTGTCATTATGAACACAGCATATGCATTTGGGATGAGCATCGCATTCAAGCTACTAGGCAGAGCTAGCTGGAGATACAAAGCGCGCATTCTAACAGCTAACGTAAACAGCTTGAGTTACATTTTGTGACAAGGAGGATTATGGGAAGGTGCCCGCTGCGCAACTGCTACATTCACTGTAGGGGCGGGTGATATTCGGTGACCCATAATCCCAGTTTTATTCCTATAAACAGCTCACCAAAAATGAAACACCAGATAAACGGAAGAACATCAGCAGTTTTCTCAGAAATAAACACAACAAAATAGGCAGCCTAGTAGTAACTAACCTCTAAACCGATTTCTATATCTACAGTCACGCAGAAACTAAATAGCTCCAAGCGAGCTGGCGTTCTTCCTTTTCAATAAGACCACGCTTAGAAGACGCGGTTGATAACAGCATTTCCTTTGCGTTGATGGGCTCCCCCCTGTTTGCTTCACATGGACGAGTCCTGACGTCGGCATTAGTGTGGAGGAAAACCGCCAGGAGAGCGCTCCTCAGAAAACAAATGCTTGCTCGCTTGGAGCTATTTAGTTTCTGCATGGCAAATGCAGTCATAAGTCAAAACGTTTACCCGGCATTATGTCCAAGTTGGCGCGCTGGTCAACCATTGCTTCCAGCATGGCACCGGCGGCAGTGACAGCCCCGGCTGGTCAGCATGGGCACAGTCGCTGTCGTGCGGGTTTCGCAGCCGTGTCGCCATGTGGGACGCCAGTGCCCCCACAAGCTGGAGGGAAGGGCTCATGGGCCGGCAGGTACGGGGGCCCCCTCCTGCGGCGTACATTATGTGACAGCATCCATGAGCTAAGATGTACAGGGCACAACACAGAAAGGACAAGGAATCATGCCACAACTAAGCCAGTAAAATTTGTAGTTTGACACTAAACTGCAAGAATGAAAAGTGATGACATAATGATTGTGCTGTTTCACAATCTGTATAGAAAATGCTACAGAGGTTCAATGTGATCAACTACAGCCATGTTACGAACATACATAAGTTTTCAAATAAATTGATCCCAGCTTAGCATGCCAGCACAAATCACTGGTTGACCTCACTGTTTACAAGTAACTGCTTACAGTCTATCTAAAAGTTTCACAGAGAGTTTTATTTTCACTAATCTTTCTCTGGTTTCGGTGACACCAGAATTCGCAGCGCCAGTATGGTGTCCTGCATGACGGTCGGCTGCTGCACAAAGTCGCAGTTGAACAACAAAAAAGAGGAGAGCAAGCTTGCGGACTCCCATTTTTTTCAAGATTCCGAGAGCCAGAACACACGAGTGCGAGAAAGCACGGTCACTCTCCGTGAGAAGGCAATGCAAATGACTTGTGTGAATCAACCTGAATGTTTTTTACGAAGACGAGTGTGTTCAAGGTACTTCGCCTCGGGTGAGCGTTGGCACCATTTGCTTTCGTCGGACATTAGCAGCAAGATTTCCACAAAGCTTCGCCCATCGCCCGTCGCTGCTGCTCATTGCAACTTGCATCGCTTGCTTGTTGTTTCGACGGACCGAGTGACAGGGTGTCCTGTCGCGTCGCTTTGTCTGGAAGAATCACTTATATCTGGTTCATACTTTAGAGCTAGTTGCTAGTCGGTCACAATAAAAAAACATGCTTAAGAAACTCGAATGTGAGCTTATCGCAGGAACGCCAGAAAACCAACATCGAAAGAAATCTCCGCTTCCGAGGTTATTCCTGTCGCTTTCTAGTTACCATTGCTCAGGCAAAAAGAGTCACACTCTCACTGCACTCCCCTATGGCTCTTTTTTTTATTCCTTCCAAGCTCGAGACAAGATCCGCTGTCGCTCGGTCCGTCGAAACTACATGTGACACACGTCGCAATGAGCAGCAGCGACGGGCAACGTTTTGTGGAAATCTTACTGCTGATGTCCGACAAGCAAATGGTGCCGACACTTACCCGGGACGAAGTGCCTTGAAAACATTGGTACTTGTCGACACCTTCCCGGTCGATGCGCGCAAGCCATTCGCATTGAGGTACCGTGCTTTCCCACACTCGTGTGTTCGGACTCTCAGAATCTTAAAGTAACGGGGAGTTTGCAGGCTTGCTTTCCTCCAGTTTCTTCAATTGCAACTTGGTGCGGCAGTCAACCATCACGCACGACACCATACTGGCGCTGCAAATTCCGGTTTCAAAGAATTTGGGGAAAGATTTGTGGTGTAGTGCGGCTGGTTCTGGTGCAGCTGTCTGCTGTCAAGGGTACAAAGATGGCGATGTACCCAGAACGCACCCCACGAAACCTGCGCATAAGCCGCAGTTGAATACTCCTTATAATGGCTGTTCCTAGATCGTCACAGTTAAGAAATGACAGATGACATACAATTAAACCAGCAACATGCAAAAAACAAGCTTTGCACAAAAAAAAAAAAAAACAGCATCCATAAAGATTGCCTGCTTGGCTCAATTCATGTAACGTGTACTATAGTGCCAGTTTTGTGCACCGGTTTTTATTTACACATTCAGATTGCTTCTCTAAATCAGCTCAAGACAAAGTCGAAACTCGGGTTAGGGTGGTGTAGCTCAACCATAATGCTCAGTTGTAATGGTCGCTTAAATGTTGCACAACACAAAAACGCAGGTTGTCGATGTCACCACAAGCACCAGATAGAGCGACAAAGTATTCTCCTGCGGACGTCGCAGGTGGCCACAGAAAATTCCTCTGCAGAGTTATTTAAGCAGACACATCGTGTCATGATTCTGCGAACGCACTGCGTTATTTTGCCGAAAGTAGAAATGAACCACATACCTGTTGCGTGGATGTCGCGCTTCTCCTCCGAGTCACTTTTTTTTCCATCTGGATTTAGCGTTATCCCAACACCTTTTTAGTTGTTTAACGTCCCTTTGACGGACATTCGACTGGCAGTTATACTCAGTGCAGAGTTTTTCCCATGCTTCAAGTTTAGCCTCTTTCGAGGAGTTGTTAGTTCTTTTATCTGCTATAACTTTCCAGTATTTTTGAACAAGTGCTCGGAGGAGATCGCGCTCCTCCCTCGTGTAGACAATCCTTCCTTCGTTCGCAGATTCCTTCGGCATCGTTGGAAAACACTGTGGGACTGTGGTTGCTCTGAAGAAAGAAGAAGGGTGGAAGATAATCGTTAGACGTCAAAAGCAAGACAGTCGGACAGATACGAACCTTTCTTTAGGCGACCGAAGCAAAGACGGAAGGCTGGGCGGCTGGGCGAGGCTAGAGCACTATATAGCTCCTATGGAGCAGAGTAGCGCAATCCTTTGAACCCCGTGTTTTGCCGACAACATGGCCGACAGAGCAGCTCGGCGCGAGTCACGTGGTACTCAGGGTTCCAGGAGGCGGCCAGCCCTATGGGAGAATACATGGAGATCGACACAACACGGCTGATTAAAAAATGAACGGCGAGTTCACACTTTTCAAAACTAGTGTGTCGTGAAGGTAGTAAAGCACTAAACATTTTATCAAAGTTTTAATAATATCGGATGCGTGTACAAATTTTGAGAAGGCAATTTCCAAGGCAATGGCGTTTGAAGCAGACGATTTTTGCTCGCAGCGGAGATGGGCTTTTCGGGTTGGCCGGAGCGGGTCACGTGAATGGTGTGACGTCGCCGTGTCGTCTGCTGCATGATGCCGCTCAGGCAATTTTTTAAAAAAAAGTCACGTCCTTGCGGGGCACAAAACTTAGCGCAAATTATTCTAAAATGTTCCATTATTATGTCAAAAATGATTGCCATTCCGTACATCCCCACAATACTGAAGAAATAACGATTTTCTCACGTTCTCCATGCATTTCTGACCGCAGTTGGAACCTCCGGGTGTTCGCCACTAGTCGCCGAGAGGCGGCGTTCTAGATTGCGCTACTCTGCTCCGAAGGAGCTATATAGTGCTCTAGGCGAGGCTGGCGAGGCGCGGAAAACAGAAGTCGCGGGCGCCGCTGTTGCCAGACTGGAGAACGCTTGTTGCTGTTATCGGCTACAACGCATAAAACATTCGCGCTTCGAAGAAAAGCTCTTGCAAACTCGCACTGCAATGCTATTAAAATGTTTCCCTTCCAACAAGATGAACTAATATGTTCATATTTCACACCACAATAATGTTTTCAACTTAACTTTTTACTACAACCTCGTAACCAGACGCCTGTCACGTCTCCTCGAGTTGCCTCGAGTGGAGGAGGGTTTCTCGAGGAGCTCCTCACTCGAGGAAACGCCGAGGCGCGTCTCTGCAGCCCAATGGCTCCTCGAGTGGAGGCGCGCTTCTTTCCTCCACTCCACTGAGTCGAGGTGGAGGTTCGAGTGGAGGCCCGTTCAAGAATACGGCTGTCAGATAGTCAACACCAACGACCCAACAACGAGTTCTTTTACATTCAGATACTTCCGCATGTGGCCACATACGCTACAACACCGCATATTTATCTCGAGTGGACGGAACTTGAACATCATAGCAGAAGGAAAAAAGATGGGTATTTTTATCTGAACTTTGAGCTCTACCCAGAGAGTTGAAAAATGGTCGTTCTAACAACAACACACTGAAGAGTGATTGTATCACTATTGTGTTTTTGTTTTTTGTTTTTGTTTTTTGTACAAAGTAATAATTACAAGTAATTAGAAGTTAAATATATTGCAGTCAGAGGGACGTAGTCTGATCATTTCTGGGGCATAATATATAGATTGGTACTACAGGTGTTTTCTAGAGGGACGGCCGCCTCGTTGAAGCTACTAAGAAGAGTAAAAACAAACTTCCATAAAAAGTGAGACGGTTTATGGTACATTTCATGTATCTTCAGCCTTTGAAAAAAAAAATTCTTCGTGACCAAACGTGCATTTAGTTTCTGTCAACAAATGTAACTGAAAACTCGACAGCCGACAAATGTCTTGCGTATCAACAAAGAGAACGGGAAACACGGAGATTGAACCGCAAAATCACAATTTTCTTCGCGTAAAATAGTGCAACTAGCAATAGTAGCATATTATGCCATTTATTAAAAGACAGCAGGTATTACGAAGTGTTTATTCTCTTCTGTTCCCATTTGTTCGGTGATCAAAAAATGGAATGCCCAGATAGCCTCTGCAGCGCTTGCATCATAATTGTTCGGGGCTCTGTCAGGGTGGGCGAAGGCCAGCGATCATCTCTAAAAAAAACCAGGAGTTCGGAAGGTGTACTACCGCAAGTTTTGGGGCTGCTTGGCTAATTTAGGCGTCTGGCGTTCCCCGCCTACTTAGTAAAGAAGCGGAACAGCGGCCAGCTCAACGTCTTCACCAAGCAAGAAAATCATGCCGAAATGTGACCTTGAACACGTACGAGATCTTTACCCGAACCCAGCCGGGATTCGCCACAATTCCTAATTAATCTATGAAAAAAACTATAAAAAGGGGTAGGCTTAAACGATTTGTCAAATTTGAATATAGTCATGCGGACCTAACTTTCCACAAGTACAGAAAGAAATGCAGTAGAAATGCAGTGCTCTATTGTGTTCTTTATGTCCATACTTGCCTTTCGCGCTATACGCCAATTAAAATAAATTCTGCAATATCTGTAGATTATGCTTGGTTATGTTGTCTCTAAAAGAAAAGTAATCAAGGAAGTTCGGTATCTGCCACAATTTGTGCAAATACAATTTTATGTGGAATTC